ACACACACACACACACACACACACACACACACACGTTAGAAAGCAGCACCAGACACACACCGAGGTAATACGCAGCCCTGTAGCGCCATCTAATGGCTGCGCTCAGGTTTATATGATCAGAAGGACCTACTATCACACTACTGTAGTTTTTACAGTATGTAACATGTTTGTGAACAGACCTTTGGATTCCAGCTCCAGTTTTTTCTTCTGAGCCCAAATGTTGTGATAGTTCTCGGCCAGCAGCTCCGCCATCGTCTGAAGCACACAAACACAGCAACGGGTTTCAAACAGTAAAACTGGAAGTGTTAGAGTGGCTGTGTAAAGCGCTTCACTCACATGCAGGTCTCTGGACAGCGTCACGTTGCTCATGTCGACGGGCCGCGGGCTGAAACCGTGAGCGCCCTCTATGGAGCGCTGCAGGAGACACGAGAGGTCAAAGGTCACGCACACACTGCACCTCACATGACTCTCTCTATCTTTTATGCAGATGATCACTCCCTCATACTGTAAATACGGCTGTTTCTGACCTGACTGGACAGAGAGATCCGGCGCGTGCGGTTGTGTAACGTGGACGCGTCGCTCTCTCTCATCCGCTCGATGCTCCAGCCCCACGACAGCATCGTCTTCAGACTCTCTCTGATTGGCCAGCGGTACACCTCCTTATCCTGAAACACAGAGGCATGCTGGGAAACCCACTGGCACGCTGTGGTTTACTCATCATTCTGAGTGTAATCACGGAAAGGTACCTTCTCAGACAGACATTTGTAGGGCTTGAGCAGCGGATGAACTTTAGATGCTTCACACATCTGCTCTCCATAAACCCAGCCGACGGCAAACTGCAGACACACACATCAATGAACTCAATTCACACAAGACCACGTGCTCAGGATGCAACTTACCACTAAATTAAAAAAATACTCAATTGAACCTACAGTCAGGCTACTTGTTTGATAAAGCACTTAGTCACAAAAAGATAGCATATATGTAATTTTGGCACAAAAACACTGACAACATTTTAATCAGAGTAACTGCATTAAATTTGAGAAAAGATTTGCATTTAACACCGTTAATAAAACAGAAGCAATAACTGAAATAAACATTTAAATTAATTTAAATGGCAGCACTTTTCAATAAGGTCCCATTCATTAATATTAGTTAATGCATGAACTAACAACGAGCAATATATTCTTTACAGCCTTTATTAATCTTTCTTAATGTTAGTTAATAAAAATACAACTGTTCATTGTTTGTTCACATCAGGTCAAGTGCATTAACTCATATCAACAGAACTGACTTTAGCTGGACAAATGCCTCTTCTTGCATTATTGACACATTAACACTGTGAAGCTGCTTAGACACGATCAGTATTATATCAAGCGCTACAGAAATAAAGGTGACTGGACTACATTTGTTTTGAAATGTATATTAACCCTAAAAAGGGCAAGCATATAAAAAGACATTGGAAAATTAATTTATTGCTATTTTTACCTTATTAGAACACAAATAATACAAATTAGTGATTTAAAAAAAAAAACTTGACTATTATTTTTTATTTTAATGTTTGCATCCCCCAGGATACGTCGCCCCTTTCGGGGTTAATAAACATTGAAATTAAAATGAAATAAAATGCTGTAAAATTGCTCATTGTTCGTTCATGTTCACTAGTGTAACTGATGTCAACTAATGAAATCTGAACGTTAAGTGTTACCATTTAAATAAGACAAACTTCTAGAAACGTTCTATTGTGTGATGGCTCAAAATGAACTTATGAATCATTTTTTGAATCAGTCTGCACTGATTCAGTTGAGTCTGAACGAGTGAATCAAACTCAGTGCTACTTATGAGAGAGAGGAACATCTAGATCATTGATTCAATCGACATTGTGGCACAAAAATGATGTGCTTTGATTTACTACACCACTACTTCATAGAAAGTAGCACTAAAATAAAAGTTACGCAGTTTTAAAAACCACTGAGCTACAGTCACACTACTGAAAAGAGGACTTTTACCAGTGTTTATCTGGTAATTACTCCCAACATCAGGGTGACAAAATACAGCCAAAAATATAAATAATATTAATAAAGTTCAGTCAATTTAATAATGAAATGAAAGCAGCTCTGACCTTCTCCATGGACCATTTCTCATGGGAGTATTCTGCATATTTATTGATGAAATGATCGAGTTTCTCAGGAACAACAACACTGCAGAAACACAAACACAACCACACTACACACATCTGAAAAACCTGAAGCGCTCATGTTTAGAGGAAAGGCTTCAGAGGAAGAGCGCTTGGGTCTGACCTGCTGGTGTCGGCGGGCTGCGGGTTGAAGTTTCCCTCGGCGTCCATAGACGACGGTTTCTCCATCATGGCCATGTAGTTTGACTCCATGTAATCAGGAGGTAAAGCTCCACCCACCGCGCTCAGACACGGCAGCGCCAGCTTGAACAACTCCACCTCATATTTCTGCAACAATACACACATATCTCAGATACAGCAGACAATCAAGTGACGCATCAGCTCAGGCTCCGCTGTACCTTTCTGGCCAGAGCATCAAAGATCCCCCAGAAGAGCTTTCTGGACAGATGCAGCTCCTCGTCTGACGCGGCGCCGAAGCTTCCCCATCCTCCGGAGAGACAGTAGTACTTCCAGCAGCGCTCGTAGTGATTGGTCAGGAGCTGCGGGAGGACACGCCCCCCACCAGAGCTCAGTTACTACAGCACCTGGTTAATGAGGTGAATGAGAGATCAGAAGCGTCTCACCTTCAGAGGCATCTTAGTGTGTTCGTTTAGCACAGGAACGTCAAACACCAGACGCCTCAGCAGATGCTGCATCATCGAGGGACGCAGTTTACTGCAAAACACACACACAACACACACAGTCACAGGAAACATGCGTGAGACCGTCGACAGCAAACGCACACGGGCCACACGAACACGGTATACGTCTCAGCAAAGCTGATTCATCACAGAACATTAAGACATTAAAATTTATATGACAAGTTTTCTGAAATGTAGTGTTTGAATATGCAAATGGGGCATTTTCTAATGAAACGTACATTTCCAGAGCATAAATCTGAAGTTCGGATAAAGCCAGGTTGAAAATTCTTGATTTTGTTGATATATGTGACTCTGGAGCACAAAACCAGTCATAAGGGTCAATTTTTTAAAATTGAGATTTATGCATCATCTGAAGTCTGAATAAATAAGCTCTCCATTGATGTATGGTTTGTTAGGATAGAACAGTATTTGAAAATCTGGAATCTGAGGGTGCAAAAAAATCTAAATATTGAGAAAATCATCTTTAAAGTTGTTCAAATGAAGTTCTTAGCAATGCATATTACTAATCAAACATTAAGTTTTGATATATTTACGGTAGGACATTTACTAAATATCTTCATGGAACATGATCTTTACTTAATATCCTAATGATTTTTGGCATAAAAGAGAAATGTATAATTGTGACCCATACAATGTATTGTTGGCTATTGCTACAAATATCCCCCAGCGACTCAACACTGCTTTTGTGCTGCAGGGACACATATTAGAGTTAAAGGTTTTCTCTCCATAAATCAGAAAATACTGTCAACAGACAGAAAACAAATACTTTTTTACCATGTTTCTAGGAATAAAATGTTGTATAAATCAGTGTGAATGAAATATGAACAAGCCTTCAGAATACAGAGAGGAATAAAACTGCAAAGTCTGGTGTGTGTAAAAGAAAAACTCTTTAAAGATATGGACTGGAATTGAAATCTACAGACGCAGATAGATAACGTGCAATAAAATAAACACTTAAATGTGTATTTTGGATGTTTTCTTTCCGCTAGAACACATGTTATGGAAGCAAAACAAAGCAAAATTGATTAGTACATAAAAAGTTGGTCTTGCCTGAAGTATCTCGCCTTGCAGTAATAAAGTATTATTAATATATTAAAATAGTGTACTAAATACTATACTAAAAACTCTAAATACTAAACATACACATACAATCAAGATGTAAACTGTAGTCATATCTTTTTTCCCTTCTGTATCTACTGTTTTAATCGAAGAACATACAGAATCAGAATCTTGGATCTTCAAAACCTGGGTTAATTAATTTCACATAAATATTAAATAAATAAATATCCTCAGTTTCTGTTACAGCAGTTTGAAAACAAGCAGCTTTGTCATAATTACAGCAATATATCAAATATAGTGTTGGGCCGCTGGTTTGAATAGATTTGGAACTTTTTGAAGGTTTCTTATGCAAAAGAGCTGCTTAATCCCAGTTTTTACTTGATTTCAGATACATAACCACACAAGAGTTGCTATATACTAGTCGCACTAAGAACTTAATCTGACCAAGAACCACCAACGTTTTGACTGGTTTGTAACTAGTCCTCACCCGCACACAGCCAGCAGACACTCCTCGATGGCGTCTCTCTGCGCTTTGGTGAGACAGCAGCCTTTCGACAGCCTGTAGACGGTGTGCAGCAGAGAGTCGATGAGAGACGCGAACGGCTCCGTCCCGGCGAACAGAGGAGCGCATTTAGTGAGCAGCGGCAGGACCGCCGTGCACAGGTACCGGTTCAGAGCCAGCGCCATGTCTGTCGCGCTCAGAGCCACCTGGAGGTCAGAGGTCACACGGGACGAGAAGAGAGGTCAAAGATCGGCATGATAACACACACTCACTGAGGTGTCACGTGACTCACCGTGTCCAATGAGGCGGCGGCTCTGAGGTCAGGAAGAAAGCCCACTTCCAGCAGGTGCAGGAGGAAGTTCTGGTCCTCGATGCCGTAAACGCGGTCCAGGAACAGAACCATGGCCGCTTTGTGATCAGGACAGAATCCCGCTGACATGTCCGGCTCGATCACAGAACCGTCTGAACACAAAAATAAAAAGTGATATATATACTAATTATAAAGCGGAGCGTTCCGGTGCTTGATTCTGATTGGCTGAGCCGCGTTCGAAGCTGTTGTAAATGACGCTACAAAGTAACACACACCTTTGTTTACGTTTGTGTGTTGCTCGGCAACCACTTTGTAGCAACCACAACTGTTTCTGAGGAGCTACATTGTTTGGTGGAAGAATACTGTGTTTATTAATATCATTACTCTTTATTTGCTCTGTTTTATTTTGTGGAACCGTACTACGTATATAACCGTTTTATAAAAGCAGTAATCCCCGTGAAGCCGTGGTTTACAGTGAATTTATAACAGCTGAGGGTCGTTGTTAGCTGTTAAAACACATTAGCTGTTATAAATTAAAACCAGGGCTTCACGGGGCTTATTGCTTTTATAAAACAGTTATTCCATATACGTAGTACGGTTTCACAAACAGAGCAAATAAAGTGTAACGATATTAATATCAGTTGTGGTTGCTACAAAGTGGTTGCCGAGCAACACACAAACGTAAACAAAGGTGTGTGTTACTTTGTAGAGTCATTTACAACAGCTTCGAACACGGCTCAGCCAATCAGAACCAAGCACCGGAACTCTCCGCTTTATAATAGATTTTAAGAACCTCAGTATACTAACACAGATGTTCTCTTTTATATATGTGAACCAAAGCACTAGTTGTCCTACTGTAGTTTATTTCATGCATTATGACACATGCAGGATGCATTTCCCAGTTTTCTGTTTCGCAACCGATGCATAACAGAAGAGCGACTGTTTCCAAACAGCACAATAATCTGTCAGTGAATGATGTCTTCATGCTTGTTACTATGAATGAGGGACACACACACACAAACACACACACACAGAATCAGTGTTCAACAGCCCACATCAGCCAATCAGAGACGGAGAAGAGAGAGAGAGAGAGAGAGAGAGAGAGAGAGAGAGAGAGAGAGAGAGTGAGTGAGAGAGAGAGAGAGAGAGAGAGATTTCTACATATAATTCTATTTTTTATTTATTTACAATTGTTAAATTATTAAATATATTTTAATTATTATTATTAGTATATATCCACACATCTATAATTGTTTAAATAATATGTTTTTAATTATTTGTTATACGTGTCCCTGCAGCACAAAAGCAGTGTTGAGTCGCTGGAGGATATTTGTAGCAATAGCCAACAATACATTGTATGGGTCACAATTATACATTTCTCTTTTATGCCAAAAATCATTAGGATATTAAGTAAAGATCATGTTCCATGAAGATATTTTGTACATTTCCTACCGTAAATATATCAAAACTTAATGTTTGATTAGTAATATGCATTGCTAAGAACTTCATTTGGACAACTTTAAAGATGATTTTCTTAATATTTAGATTTTTTTGCACCCTCAGATTCCAGATTTTCAAATATTGTCCGATCCTAACAAACCATACATCAATGGAGAGCTTTCCGATGATGGAGAGCTTTCAGATGATGTATAAATCTCAACTTCGAAAAATTGACACTTAAGACTGGTTTTGTGCTCCAGGGTCACATATGGCCCATTTAAATGCGTCTGCTATATTTCAGACAGGTGCAGGAGATTGTGGGTCACCTGAGCCCATGAATCATGAGCTTCTCCTCCTCGCGGCCCATCCTGACACTGAGCAGAGAGCGGATCTGACCCAGAGACGCCAGCAGGTTGATGGTGTCCTCCACCGAGACGGCGTTGATGGTGTAGGTCTTGGGCAGCGCTCGCACCTGGCCGCCGATGCCGTCGTACTGCCGGTGGAGCAACACGAACATGGCCCGCACCAGCTCGGGATCCTCGATGACCGACTCCTGAGCCCAGCGCACCATCGTCTCCGAGATCAGCTGCTGCAAGGTGCCTTCAGACAGAAGCAGAGATCAGCACGGCTAGGAACCGCAGAATACGGTCCTCATGAAGGAGAGGAGAACTTCACTCACTGGGTTTCTTTGATTTCTTCTTCTTTGGTATTTCAGTCATTTTCTTCTTCAGGTAGGTCACCTTCTCCACCAGAAACATCAGACGACCCCTGATGGTGAAATCATCTCCATCTCCTGATTTATCATCATCCGTCTCAATGCCTGCAGGACAGACACGCAGAAACACAGACTTCATCATCAGCGTCTAAAACACAGAGCATCAGAAGACGTGTAGGGATGTAACGATTCACTCAACTCACGATTCGATTCAATTCATGATTTTGATTTCACGATTCGATTTTATCACAATTTTTCTTAACAAAATGAGACTGAAGACATTATACAGTAAATGAAAAGGTGTCGTTTTATTAGACTATTGCTGCACGTTTCTTTGTGAAATTGAAATATTACAAAACTAAATTAAAATTTGAAAACAAACCCCAAATCAAGCAAGTTAAACAAAAAAAGAAATCTCTTAATATGAACAAACTAAGGCTTTGTTTGTGCTGTTTCCATTTACAATTAGAGGCAACCACTGGATTTTAATCATGATCCAAACAAAGATGCAGCACATGCAACATGAGTAATTTTTAACCTAAAGCAAAAACAAAATGGTCTGACTTCAGTTTTAGGAAACTATACTACATAAAACATATTCTGAAAGAAACAGCAGACGAGCTGAATGAGACACAGATTCACTCTCTGCCAGCAGAGCTGCGCTTATCTACAGCAATGATACATTGTTTCCTTGGTTACCGCTGTAAACAAAGCAGAGCTGCGCTTATGAACAGCAATCATACATTGTTTCCTTGGTTACCAGCAGAGATGCTTACGAACAGCAATGATACAGCGTTTCCTTGGTTACCGCTGTAAACAAAGCAGAGCTGCGCTTATGAACAGCAATCATACATTGTTTCCTTGGTTACCAGCAGAGATGCTTACGAACAGCAATGATACAGCGTTTCCTTGGTTACCGCTGTAAACAAAGCAGAGCTGCTTCTCGAGGTCCGGCTCTCTCAGCGCCAGAGCCAGTTCATTATTATCCATCACAGACGCGGCGGCCACATCCAGAGGAGTGGAACCTCGCATAGACGGAGACGCTACAGAGAACAAACACACACGGTTAACACACACGGGCGTCTCGTAGAGCTCGCTAACACCTCGCTCTCAAGATCTCCAGACGTCTTACCGAGGCCCACGCTGCTGTTCTCCAGCAGGTAGCTCAGATGATCAAACATGGCTTTCTGATTCTGACGACTGATCCGACAGAAGTAGCACAGGAACCGACAGCAGTTGGCCACCATCTTCGGAAACGTGATTTCCTGAAGACCAAAGGACACTCGTTCAGTGACAGTGCAGTCAACGTACCTGTAAAAACTGAGAAACTGCAAAGAGATCAAAATAAAACAGAGATGATAATGAGCGTCTGCACCTTGGACTCTCCTGCACCCAGGACGTTCACCATCACCTCCATGACGGTCTCGTGCATGCCGAGCGCTCTCATCAGGTTCGGATGCTGGTAGAACACCTTGTTATTCATGATGTCACTGCAGACGGGATACAGACAGGTCAGAGGTCAGACTGGAATCTCACACACTAAACACCAGAGGGCGTCACTGAGCCAAAGCCAAGACGCAAAACCCTCCACCGCTTTAAACTGAGAATGCTTTAAAATTATTTTATATATTTTCTACATATAATTCTATTTTTTATTTATTTACAATTGTTAAATTATTAAATATATTTTAATTATTATTATTAGTATATATCCACACATCTATAATTGTTTAAATAATATGTTTTTAATTATTTGTTATACGTGTCCCTGCAGCACAAAAGCAGTGTTGAGTCGCTGGGGGATATTTGTAGCAATAGCCAACAATACATTGTATGGGTCACAATTATACATTTCACATTCATATAAACTCCTACTCCAATTGAATAGCGATTTGTTTAGCATCTCAACCGATTTGAATCGTCACATATTTGAATATATTTTCGACCGGCTCGCGGTTAATCGTTACATCCCTGCTAACATGAGATCCAGTGGGAGTAATTCACACATCGATCACTAATCAATAACACAGATCATGAATTACTCAAAAATTACTTGAAATACTTGAAGCATGAAAAGCAAACAGTCTGGCAATGGGGTGATAAAAATGAATGTCAAGATACAATTTTAATGATCATTAATCTGGTTAAGGATGTTTAGACTCGATCACTGATACCACAGTGTGTCATCAGATCTTCATGGAAGTCCAGCAGCTGTTCACGGATGTCCTCTGGACACGGACAGTCCTGCTTCTCATCCTTAAAATTCAGCAGCATGTTGATCTGAGGAAACACACACACACACACACACACACACACACACACGCGCGCGCGCGGGCGAGTGAATCATCATTCACAGCGCATTGAACTTAGCTACCATAACCTTTTTTGAGTGAAAAATGATCGGAGGAAATAATGTAGTGACAAATATTTAATCTTCATCATTAAAACGATCATTTCAAACTCAAGTTATTTATTAAGATTTACAGACAGATAAAGAGTAACAGAAAAAGAGTAAATATCATGGAAAAGGTGTGAAACGCGTGTAAAGACCTGTTCCTGCGGAGGAGAGCGGAACTCTTTGGTTTTGCGTGCCGTCAGAGCAGCAGACATGTTCAGCGCCTGCATCACTTCATTATAGCGGAAACGCTGGTTCTCCTGAAGATTCGCCACAAAGTCGTCGGAGAAGGCGACCACAGCCTCGATGCGGTGACGCACCTGACAGTCGCACAGGTACTGCAGCAGGTGACACATCTGAGCACACACACATCACTTCACTCAACCACTGGAGGCCTTTTACTGTTTTTCAGAACAAATCAAATTCAACAATCCCTCGACACTCACCAAATCCCTTGGATTACATTCATGCTGACCATTCATTTTTATAAGATAACTGAAAAATAGTGCATATACGCATGTACACACACTAGTGTAAGTTCAGTATCTTTGAGATTTTGTTTTCATATTTTCTTTTTTTTAAGTATTAGTAGTTTTGTTGTGTATTTTTGCCATTTTTGTTATTTTTAAATATGTCTATATAGATTGTATACATTTTTATTTCAGTTTTAAATTTAGTTATTTTCGTACATCAAGTTAAACTAAATGCAAATGAGAAATGTTGCCTTGGGAACTAGTTGAA